TCTCTCTCTCTCTCTCTCTCTCTCTCTCTCTCTCTCTCTCTCTCCCCCCTTTCCCTCCCTCCCCCTCTCTCTCGTTTTGTTGGTTCACTCACCCTGCTGAGTTATCGTATCATATAGATGTCATGGACAAAATGCATGGAGCTATACTGTTTGCGTTCTTCTTACTTTTTAAACATATATGAGTGAAATGACTAATAAAAATAATATTGGATTATTGACTTTTACATAACTGGAAATTTAATGGGGATTTATCTTCTATAATGTTTTCAATTTTCGGGTGTCAGGTAATTTTCATAATAAATATTTTAAAATATATAATGCCCAAACTGTATATTTATTACTTTAAAAAATAATTAATAGTAATATTTCCGCATAATTAAGGAATAAAATCTACAATAAAAATTTTCTATATTTAGAAATTTATGCAAATTTTGATAATTTATATAATTGTGCAAAATAAAAAAAATAAGCATTAATTTTTTCTTTTCAAAACATCCGGATCTCAGCACAATTATCTTAACATATATCAAATTATATTATTCCAGAGCACAGTATGGATTCACGTCGTAGAATCGTAGCATTTCATGTGTCAAGACAATTATGTATGTGCCTGTGTGTACAAAAATGTCTCTACTTTTGTTTTTCTAGAATCTGTTTACCCTACTGTAAGTTGATTTTTAACAGATTTGTAATTTTAAACATGGAAAGAATTTTAGCTAGAGAAGGTGAGCGAATGAGACATCAGTTACGCTATATTGTTTCAGCTGAGAATTAATACATATTGACTCTAAATTTAGCAGAAATAAGAGCTCTAGGAGTCGACAAGTCGTGACGATGACCTATTATCCAATAAATTCCCTCGTTGTTCCATTATTGTCCAACTATCTTATCGTTATCTAATTATCATGCAAATCAGATGCTAAACGGAGATCCTTCCCTCGAGGAGCAGATCGATATCTCTTACCGAGAACTTCCTTATGACTGATCGATTAGTTGCACCATCCCGCACAGGGGGCGGCTGTCTCGACGCGTAAATGCGCGGGCGCATCCTTTTATACAAGCTATGAGTTTAAAATGGTGACTGTCGACAGACTCGACCCGCCATTTTCCACGTCCTATCGGGAAGACGTATGTTCCTTTTCCCTTAACTCAACGAGGTAGCGTTTATACTCTTTACTCTAAGAAGCTGCGATGAATTTTACTATATATTTGTAAATTTATGACAAGTTTTCCATGACTTTGCAACATTGAATCTTAATTTTTTTAATATGGATTTAAGATGGCTTAAAGCTCTTTGGTTAGAGATGAAATAAATGAATGAATGAATTATTTCCGAGACTTCATAAAACACCAATTGCTTAGCTTTCAATTTAAAAATTCGGATGGTATAGGTGAAAAGAATCGTGTAAATTAAAACATAGTATATTAAATTAATTGATTTTGAAAAACAACTGTTATACTCTAGCTATTTGTTAGTTATGCGTATATTCGATTCAGGGAAACTGGTAAACCGCCAACCTATTCGCCATATTGCGCAAGAATATTTCGATTGTCGATTCATTTGACAGCAATCGACCACGTTGTGTTTGCGCAACAAATATTGCGGTACTTGTTGCTGCCGCAATAACTGCAAAATGATTCGCTGTACACATAGATTAATGAGCGGCGAATGGCGAGTGACGCGGCTCAGATTCTTTCACCTTTTGCATTATACCGTCACTTTTCTAATAACCGTATTAACCGTGGCACGTATTATTGCACAGTTCTTCAGATATGCGATTTAAGCTCTTGCAGGAATCGCTAAGCACTATGATATACGTAATACTAGATACTTTAGAAAAAACGATCGATACTTTGGCGACTATTACTCTATCTGTCGAAAGTTTAATATGAAATACGAATCGTCTTACGATCATATAGTTGCAAATGATACAGACGATATTCAAAGTGTCTGTCGTTACAATCGAACGATGCAACTTTTCAATTATTCTGACTGCTTTTAGTCTTAATGTTCCGCGGTTCTGTAATGTTTCAATCATGTGTGAAATGATTCTATCTTTATAGAAATATCCTGTATATTCGAATATATCGATAGAAAGAGGAAAGGAAAACAGAAAACAAGGATATTTTTCGACGTCTAAACTTGGAACCGACGACCCACAGTCGTTACAGATATAGATATTGCAATACGAACGTTAAAAATGTTGTCACGAGCGTGTAAGTACACGTTAATACCGCAAAGCAATACTTCGTGGAAAAAAGTCCCCTCTTACATGGTCGCTCCTATCATTTGTTCGTATCTTCTCTCGAACGTACGGTTGTCGAAGACATTTGGGTCTAATTTCATTCTTAAACGCGCAGTTATCACAAAAGGAACCATTTTTCCTCGTCACTAAATTACATTTTTTTTATTCCGGTTTCATGTAATTATATTTGATAAAATTCCATTTTAACTGTAAATTTTTATAATCTATTTTATAATCTATTTTATATATTTATTTTTAACATATAAAAGAATATACAGAAATAAACAATACGTACGGTTTGAAGTGTTCTTTTTTTCCAAATGGTTATTTTTATAATATCAGCACTTTTGAAGTACTAGCAATCGAGTTATAGTTAAAGGAATCTTTGACTCGAAATGATCCATTCAGCGTGTATTAACATGATTTCGCAAGAACTCGAGAAATTATGCACGAGGCCTTACCTACCCTCAAACGATCTCAGGTTCGTATGTCCCCTTCCACCGTTCCTACAACAGGAAATGTAAAATTGGTCGCCCCTTCAGAGCTACCATCGCATCGTCGATGCCTCGTCCGACGCGATCCGTGCGTCCCGATCAAGGATCAATTCGGATGTCAGGCATCCATGTGTCACTTAGACGTTTTCACCGACACACGAATAATTTATGCTACCCTTTGGAGAACTGGTGCTAAACCCCACACGAGGAGCACGAATAAAGTGCTGGTGAGGAAAAGGGAAAGAGAAAGAGAAAAAAAAAGAAGGACAAGAAACAAGAGGTGGAAAAAGGTACGATGTACAAGAAAAAAGCCGGGTTGACCGTTCACTGACGGCAATGGAAAGGGAGAGAATGACGCGTTGACGTGAAAAACCAAGCATATGAGTGTGGTCCTCGAAAGGCAACCAGTATTTTTTATTTAAGACTTTTTGACTTTTATCACCACTCGCATTTCACGACCGATCACAATATGAAATCATCACGTTATTGACATGTTGAAATAATAATGCTAAATCACTTTTTAGTAAGATTAAATTTAGTAACTTTCAAGAAAGCGATATAAATTTAATCGGTACAGATATGTTATCAATTAAATGCGTCACGCGCGCGCGCTCGTCGATCATCAATATTTCTCTGGATAAAAAATATTGACATAAAAACAATTTGTCTTCTCTCCCCATGCGCAATAAATGGAAACAATTTTCTCGTAAAAAGAGTCAATCGAATGACAATCCTGTGTCGTTCGCTCGGAGATTGGTCTCTGGCGATGCGATTGGATACTGTCGCTCGCGTAATCGTCGGAACGTTCGTTGCATCAACCCCCTGTCGCTGTTCGAGTAGTTTCGCATTACGCGGACAGAATATTTATCTCGTAACAGAGTACAGTGGCAATGCTAAATAATTGATTAGAGCAAAGGAGAGAGGGTGGACCGTTACACCAAGCGCCGCCGCTCAATGGGGTGGGACGGAAAGGGGTGGAAAGCAATGAAAAGCGATTCCCAGCATTGGTGCATAGTAGACATAGGAAAACGATAAGTTCTCTGTATTGTATTTTATGTATATTTTATATTATGTAAGTAAATATTCTATTATAAAAGAAAAATTAT